ATAACTGTTAAAATTAATCTTCCTTTGTATTTTGAAAATTATTATTTAACAAGCAACAATGTCTTCATAATATAGTCAATCCGGAAGCAACTAAACTAATTGAATTTAACAATGGAATATTATAAGGATCAAATTGTTCAATTATATTAAGTGGTCATATTATTCCAATTTCAATATTTCGACCAATTGTCCTGTGAAAATAAATTTTTCAAAATAATCACAAATAATAACTAAAATTATTCCAAATTTAATAAATTTATAAACATAAAGATCTTGAAATATGCTTTCACGAATAATATCTCGTCGTGGTTGAAATATAATTATTACTAATATAGTTAAATTATTTTTCCTTAATTCAGCGAAAATTAAAATAAAATAAATCAAATTATTCCAAATTTAATAAATCTACAAACATAAAGGCGTACGGCATCCTTGAAACGTACTTTCACGAATAATATTTCGTTATCGCTGAAAAGAAATATTTCCATTTTTATTGCACAGTTATTCGAAGACGCGCATTCTCGTCGTCGATCATGAAAGTAGCATAATATATCCACTAATGCCACTTCTTAATATTCTTAAAAGAGTCGAAGTTATTACGTTGGTCATGCAGCTCGAGCCGCCGTTCAATCTCTTCAATCAGGTACGTTAATCATTCGACTGGAAGGTTTCGAAGCGTCGCGCACCTTGCATCAACGAGTCACGCGAGGACTCGTCGCGAGGAACGCGACAAAAAGAGGAGAAGAGAGGAGCGAGTGAAAGAAAGGGAACAAGAGAGGTTCGAAAAAGAGGAGCGCGGTTGCACGCGGCTCGATTCCTCCCCGGTGGTTCACGGGGTTAAATATACCCTCCTGTTTGCATCATACACGTTCGCGAATCGAACGAGAGCGAGACGATGATAGAGGGCGGAGAAAAGTAGGGACAAATGTAGACGGAAAAAAATAAGCGTGGAGCGATCGCAGGAAGGAAGTAGGAGAAAAAAGTAGGGGGGAACGGGGCTAAAATATCGAATTGGGACCACACCCAGCTTGGGGGGAAAAGGAAACGTAAATAGCGATCGATGGGAAAAAGTACAAGCAGGAGAAAAATACAAGGGGTTATGTGGATTTCGAGGGACCGAATCTTTTCTTATGGATACGTTGTTTTTATCATTTCGAAGATTTACGTTTGTCAGTCTTTCATTCGGGTCTGATAACCTTACGAAATTTATTCAAAAGCATCGAGAAGTAATGGTATTACGGTAATTTTTATGAAACTTGGGTTCTTCCATGCGGAATTCTGTAATGCTCAATTGGGGAAATGAACGAATCCAGTTTTTATAATAGCTTTCAAGAGTTCGTAAAATTAATGGTTTTTTAAAATTTTAATTTATTTTTCGTTTGGACAAAAATTGAGTATAAAAAAATATGAAATAAACATTAAACGAATCGATGTAGAATAACTATGTTAAATTTGATCCAAATGTGTTTAGGAATTTATGCACCACACCTGGTACCTCTTTTGATCAAATTATTTCGGGAAAACTTTTTTAAAATTGTTAGTAATTTTATCTTTTCGGCGATTTTGGTGTACAAAGTATCAGAAATATTCTACAAGAATCTTACTTCTAACTAATGTTTGAAAAATTATACCTCTGGTAATTGTCAAGAAAGTTCGCGTGGTTTTTCCCGTCCAGTAACTTCGACACTTGGTGTCTAAATGTTTCCTTACTTTTTATTGTTTTTACGTGTCGAATGGTTAAAAGCACTAGTAACGCATCAGTTCGTATAAAAGATTCGTCACCAGCATATTATTTTTGGTGCGAAAACTCTTTCGAAAATGTCTGACTTGGATGTCTTCAAACTTGGAGCAAAGGCTTCTGAGGCAGCCTGGAAGATTAGTACGACATTTCAAAGTGATTGTATAAGTAATTATACTATCCAAAAGTGGTACAAAAAATCTAAACTGGGGAATGAGAGACGTGAGAATTAGTTAACCGCGAAAAGGACGTCTTTAGTATCATTAATGATGATAATTTGAGGGTACAATGACATTATGAATTTTTGCCTCAAGAAGAAATCTTTCAGGAGTGCAGGGAGAATTACGAAGAAATTAGCCGGCATGTGTAGATAACACGAGACCAAAATAAATATTCGAAATTTGATTAGAAAACTTTAACTCGTCATCTATATTCTCCAGACCTTTCACCCTTCAGTTATCGCCTATTTTTGTCCATGCAAAATGATTTAACAGAAACATTTACAAACGAAGACGATGTAAAATCAACACTGCGACAATTTTCGTCCTCACAAGGCACAAATTCGCATAAAAACGGAATACACACAGTTGTATCGCATTGGGAAAAATTTATCGAATAAAATGGTACCAAGACACCTGACATTTTCCTATTTTACATAAAAATACAACTGTATATGAATAAATAATTCATCTCAACGATATACATTATCCACTGCCATAAAACTGCGAGAAGAGAAGCAATCACCCTAGTAACATTTACAACAATTCTAAAAGAAACAGAAACCCATCAATGAAAGCATGCCCAAAAACGAAATGTCCAAATAGTGAAAGTAAAAGTGAAAGAGAATCACCTATGAAGGAAGATTCAGTAACGCTCTACGTCCTAACTAACACTAACGAAGAAGTAACAACGCACCAGATAGAAAGAGAAGTAAAACAGAGGCAAGAAGAAAAAGAAGCGATGAAGACGAGGCACGCGATGAAAGGAAGATCGAAGCTTCAGAGGCAGAGAAACGGAGTGAGACAGCTAAGCAAGAAGGTTCAGACGTCTGCTATTACAGAGCACCTCCGTGGTCACGGCACACAGCCCGATATGGAGCAATCTCAGATTTCCATCCGCCCAAATCAAGAATATACGCCCTCGCCTCCGCTCGCGCTCTCTTCTTCCTCTAAGGGGGACCTCTGCTCGTCTTCTCTGCCATATACATACACACACTCACTCATTCTCTCTCTCTCTCTCTCTCTTCTTCGACAGCGGAGGTGGAGGCGCTGCTCGGGGTTGGTGCTTGGCCGTTCGTGCTGGTAACAGTGCCAAAACTGCCTCAAAACGGATTGCTCCGTTCTGTCGTACCTCTTTCTCCTTCTCCCTCCCTCTCTCTCTCTCTCTCTTTCTCTCTGCATCGCCCCTCTCTTCTGTACCAAGCTACTCTACTCCCTCTTTCTCCCTCCTCTTCGTCTTCATCTTCGTCTATCCGTCTCTGTCTCCTCTCGCGGTTTGCTCCACACCGCTTAACCGTCCTTCGTCTTCTTCCCTCTTCGCGTATCGCTGGCTGCTTCCCGCTCGGATAACCCATCCCAGACACGTGCCCTCTATCCGCCTTCTTACCTTCCGCTCTTTCGAACCACCGTCTCCATTCCGCACCCAGTCCACCAGCGATCCTCCCGGGACGCTTTCCCCGCTTTTCCAACCTCCGCGTATCCGACACGCTCGCGAACGTGACACTCAGCCGCTGATACAACAAGTGTCCGGGGCCGGGAATCGCGTGATCTGGGTTCATCGCACTGTACTTTGTACGTGGTTGTTGTTACACGTTCCGCTGTTACGCGTGTGTGATCCAAGTGAAGATTCTCTGTTTTGAGAAGGACGTCTTTCGAGAATTTTCGCCCGTCCGCGAGGACGTACGAGGTGAATGTTCAGTGCTCGCGGAGCAGGATTTACAGGGAAGAACGATCCTTCAGCAGTGCACGTTCATGTTGCCAGAAAGCAAGTTTCCCGTCACAGGTAATTTCGAGAGCGAACTTTCAGCCTGGACCTGCACTCTGTGTGTTTCAAAGCACGACGACCTTATTGTGTGGGTGTGTTGGGGTAACCAGGGTAGACGGTAGCGTAATCAGGCCAGTGGATCACGGTCCATCAAGTTGTCCCGGCCTTCAGGCACCCCGACGAGCACGACGACGACTGTTCGATATTTCAATTTCGAGGTTCACCATTATTTTTATTCTCGATCCTTTCCACGTGGATTTTAACACGGTCGAAGTTCGACGTTCGAACTGAAAGTTTGACGAGTCTCTCGAGCAGTGGCTGGGTAGATTTTCCATGGTTCCTTAGGGTTCTCTTCTGGTCAAAGCGTTGCCTTGACATATTTCTGAGCATTGCAGCTGACTTACCGTTTTTAACCTACTTGTGCCCCTGCCAATTGAGACTGAACACATGCTCGGCCGCGTGCAACACTCGCTTCGAATCGTCGTCCACTTGTTGCCCGTAATCGCATACACGCGTCGTGTCCCATGGAAATCCTTCTTTGCCGTTGCCTCTGGCCTTTCCATTAACCGTTCCAACTATCCAACCGTGTATCTTCAATTGAATTACCGAAACATTGTCGTCACTTAACCCTAACCTAATCATCCGTGTCTCTGTAGCCAGGAAAATCGAGCATCTAAATGTAACTAAGCTTTGAAGAGAGCTTCTTCAGGCTCTTCAGAGCTTCTTCGTCCAAATATTAGGATACAAATACAGCATTCCTTTTAACCATTCGTTCCCATAGTAATCTTTTTCTCAGGAAGATCGAGTGTCCTAGCTTTGCCCTAAATGATTCTTATTTTCGAATCATCTATCTTCAGTCAGAAACTCTCCAATCGATGTACCTTCAGACTTTCCTATTCGTAATAATCGAAATAGAAAAAGGTACCATATTTTAAAATTGAGGACCTAAGACCTTTGTCCAACCTAACTCGCCAATTTCTCTGCTCGAGAAGATCAAGTATCCAGGGTGCAAACAAAGAAGGCTATCACACAGTTCATTGTTTCCACTAGAAATATCCTCCACTCGCGAGTATCAAATATCCAAGCGTCGTCGAGGTCCAAAGAAAGAGATATACCTAATGTTTAGATCGGCAAGGTTCATTGTTTCCAATTGATTTCACGATCTAACCGACCGGGGTTGGCGGAAGCCTAAACGGGCGCGGAGGTTAGGGAAGAGTGTCGGTAAGAGGCGCGGGAACATCAGCCACGGGCAAACGAAAGTGTCTCAACGGGCGTAGTCGTAAAGATACACCGCGGCGCGGGGCCGTTATCCATAATCCCAAATATGGAGTGAGAAATTTGAGAGAACCGAAAATAGTGGCGCTACGCCAACCGCTAAAAATAGCCAAAAAATAAATTGTAGTTACGCGGCCGCCTGCATCATTCTATAACTGGTCTTCAATGAATCGGGCCACCTCCCGCACACGCCGTTATTAATACACCATCACACAGACACAGACTACACGTTTGGTAAGCTATATTGCTCCCGTTTTTGGCATCTGCTTCGACGCGTTAAGCCGAATTCAGGGACCATTTTCTCAGTCGTTCCTTTATAGATGTCCGAATTTTCTATATAGACGGATTTTAGTTTAGCTAGGAGTCGATCGTTCTCTCTTCTTTCTCTGTTGGATTTAAAGGTTCGATCGTAAAGGTGGGTTTTTGTTGTTGTTTTTCAGGTGGTTGGACAGGTTATGCCGAGAGTTTGTTTCCGATTAATCCTGCTCGCCCGACGCTGTACCGTTTAATTTTAAATGACACGTGTCCGGGGTTATTAGAACTTTTGTCGCACGTGCCGCACGGGGATTAGTTGCGTTTCGCTTGCGGCCCTGTGTGGGTGGGCCGGATTATTGTTTTCGGTGAATGATGCTGGTCAAGTAGTGTTTGTACGAGGCTTGTAACTTGGGGATAGAATTAATGTTGATTCAGTTGGTTGTTGCATGTTTGAATTAGAAGTTTTAGTTAAGATTAGGTTACTTGTGAATTGTGTTCTTATCGAAACGAATTGTTGTATTTTTATGCAGGATTTGTGTTGTGCTCGAGCTTTGGGAGTATAAGGACTTTTTGAGAAATTTTTAACGGTGATATATGTATGTATGTCTTACTATGCCACGTTTAGTAGCAGGAGATATTTTAGTTAGGGTGGAATTTAGTAGTTTTACGTTCAATGGGTAATTGTTAATTTTGTAGAGAACTGAGTTTGTGTAAATTTGTTAATGTGAACTTTACATCTGTGTCGTATATGGTTTATATTTTTTAGGAAATTTACTTCTAATATTGAAAGAAAAAAAAATATAGAAAGGGGGGAGTATGAAAGACAGTGTGCTTGTGTCATCCGTAGGAATAAATAAATTGCGCTAAATTTAGTACAATTAATGTAATCAATTTTATTTCTGAGATAGAAGCAATAGGGATGAAACATTGTATCAATCTTACTTCCGTTATCAGAATAGAAAAACTACTGTCACGTTTATTTCTGATGTGGTAGTGTTGAAGATGTCGTCAAGCTTATTTTTAATATAAGCATGCATCGCAGAAAACATGTTTTTGGACAGTTTTCGAGAATAAAGCACAAAACGTATTATTTAACCATCGAAAATAGTAGGTTGCGTAATTTAGAAGGTTAAATAAAATATTATATTCAATGTACAGTTCTACTATTTGCCTCTTGTAATAACTAAGGAATACTATATTTAGACAAAGAATGCTCTTACCCAAAATGATACTTATATTCGACTTTCTAATTCCTTCGAGCAATGTGAAACTACTGTATTAACAAATTTACTTTCAATATAAAAATAATACAAACATTACTATCATTATAGGAACAGAAAATCGTTATTAAAGATGCACTATAATTATACTGAAAAATTATTTTTCATTAGTAAGAGTACACTACTATATAACAATACTGAAAAATTTTATTCCATTGCTAAAAATACACTAAAATTACACTAAACAATTTTATCCCATCACTGAGAATACACTAAAATTATATCCAAAGTTTTCCAATGGTTATCAAAAACTGACCAAAATCATACCATAAACTTCTATTCTATTGTTACAAAAATTTCTGAAAATCCAACTAGAAATCAGTATTCCATTTTATATGGTCAACCCCATTCCGCACCTCAATTTAACACTCCATATCTGCCTAGTGAACATTGTTCCAGCATCCACGGTTTGCTCTCCATCTGCTCGATAAGTGTATGCCACGAGCTTTGCACTACAAGGCGTGAAACCCGATCGTCTAAGGCCAAGTACGGGCCAGGAATTGCGGGTGTTGGGTGGGCCGTACGTGGTGTCCGTTTCTATTTTCGAGCAGGAATATTTTTATCCGACAGTGCTGCAAAGTCAGTATGTACAATACGCTTCTTCATCTCTCCACTTCTACATGTTCGTTTTTCTCTTTTTTTCTTCTTCCTCCTCTTTTTCTTCTAACTTCTTGTTTCCGCTCTCGTCCACGGGTTACGTGTATCTCTGATATCCTGTCGTCGCACCGTTCGCATCTCGGCTAAATAACCTCGTCAAATCTCTGTTATCAATTAAACAGTATCATCTTTCGTTAAACTTATCCTACTTCGAGGCGTGCACTGTGTCGGAAGATCGATGGATAGCAATCACGCGTTGCACGGTGCCGACGCGTGTTCGAAGCTTCGAAAGTTTCCCGCTTAAGTTAACAGTGAATCTGTCGATTAATACGTATTGGAAGTGAATCGATAAATTTACAGAATATCGGAAGATAGGGACAGAGAATTTTCAGCAGCAATGAAACTTTCGTCTTTTTGTCTTATTGTATGGAAGCGTTTGTAGCCATTTGGGAAGCTGATGGTGATGTTTCAGTTGCTTCAAGCTGAGAGCGAAATTTTCTTCTTCCAAGGAATGAAAATGTTTCTAAGGAACGTAGAAAAACTTTATTCTGAAATTTGAACTTCGATGTACAGCTTTGAAAGAATGATTCTGGTCAGATCTCAATTTTACCGGTGTACAAATAAATTTGTTCCTTTATTAGCCATAAAATCAGTTCTGTGTGTTGTATTAAGTTTATGCGAGAAGAAATAAATTCTTGTATTTCACGTTTAGATGCTTGTAAAAGTGAGGAATATAGTAATACGTGTGCTTATAAGTTGTACATAGTGAGTTTCAACGTAAGCTCGCAGCACATTAGCAGCGTCGAATTTCTGTTGATCTACAAAACGGTCTAAAAACAGTCCGAAGGATTTAGGAGAATATATTACTCATGAAAATAGACAACAAGTGTCTAGCCAGCTTACATTCAGGCATTAATCCTCATGGCGACATGAAGAGACAATTGTAGCTTAAATTGAGCTTATCGTTGGTATGTTTAAAAATGTGCAAAATTTTGCATTATTATTAGAAACTTTTCAATTATTTATTCAAACTGAGAAATTGTAATTGAATTTTATACGATGCAGCATTACACATCTATCCAGTAGTTTTTGTATATAATACACGTAGTACCATTTTTATTTCAAGTTCCATGTACACTATACAGATGAGTACAAAAGAAAATTTCCCAAATTGTTTAGTTTGAAAATTGTCAGGAATATTCTCAAGCATAACTTCAAAAGCAACATTTTTATTTCACATAAATGTACATACACTGCCTTTAAAATAAATAATTACTTCGTATTTCCTCTGATATTTCTTATCCTTTACAATCAAAATACACCCTGTGACAAAATAACAGGACACTCCTAGATTTCTGGTGTTTCTAAAATCAGCGAAATATGGAAAAATTCTGTAAACATCAGCGTAAAAGCTTTCCTTTCTTTAGTAACATGCGAAT